AAAAAATAATAATAATAATAATAATAATAATAATAATAATAATAATAAACACAAATAATGAACACTAACCTGACAGCCTAACCGCTCGGAAAGTGGCTGATACCCGCCCGCCTGTTGGAACGCCGGGTAATTGGCAGGGTTATTCATCAATCTACGAATCCTGCAGTGAAACCATTCGAGGTAACCATACTCCGGCTGCAGATAATCGTCCACAGGGGCAATTGGGAGGAGACGATTGGCTCTATCATCGGTCCATGAGCTCAGAATAGGTCCATGGAATGCGGGTGTGCGTCCCACTCTCGCTCATCCCGAATGATCGGATCTTTGGGGATGGATTGGCGAAACCCAAATTGCCGGAGGACCCTATCAGGCAGGTGTACCTCTCGGGTGTACCAACTGAAGATCCACCCCCGGTACGTCCAAAATTGTCGATAGTCTGTGCACGCATCCGAGAGAGAATCATTGTTCAGGACGTTTTGATAGGGCCGCCAATCGAACTGTAATAAAAAAAATAACAAGTGTATTAGTAATTAAGTTATTATAAAATTTTTTTTAAAAAAAAAAACAAAGATAAATCACATAAAATAAGAACTGTAAAAAGAAATAAACAATTGAATTAAAAACATTACCTCATCCTCTCTCAGCCCTGTAAACTGATCCCGGTAGGCGGCCAATGTAGTGGCTATGTTTAACCTATGTCTCGGTCCCACCCACCTTAAAAATCACAGAAAAAAAAGTTTGTAATCACAAAATTTGATAATGAAAATAATGTACGGATTAAATAAAAATAAAAGTGATTACCTCGCTCCCAATGGACAATCAGGCACTTTCTCAAACAAACTTTTCTTCACCTTTGGGCGAATACGAGGGATATGCTCCCATGCCCAAACCTACACAAATGGACATTAATTTTGTTATTAGGTATTAGTCGAAGTAAGATAAATAAAATATTAAATTTTCAAATAATAATTAAATAAATTTATCTGGATCAATTGAACGCAATTCTTCATCCACTTCTCTTCGGCCATGAACGAGGTCGCCAACGCTCTGTACACTCCGGCCAAGAGCGCTGAACCCCAGCTGTACCCCTTAATACCATCGAAGTTCTCTAGCAGCTGGAGCCAGTAAAGTGGGACGCCATCCGCCCGTTGGTCGGGGAAGATGAAAGACCCAATGCACCACAAGATAAGGGCCCTCGCCCTCTGTTCATACACGATGTCCGGTAGTCTTCTTGCAACTCAGTCTTGCAAGAGCTCTCCAAAATCCCGATATGCAACCACTGGCCTTTAATGTCCCACTTGCTAGGGTCCTGTGCTGCTTGCTCTGCCTCGTTGGCGGGAGGATCCTGAGAGTGATTTTTCCATATTAAAAATTGATAAAATTGAGTTGACATATATTTAAAAAAAAAATTATGAAAAAATATACCTGAACGTACCGCTGAAACCCTAGCAAGTCCTTGCACCTCTCTCGCCACTGTAGGGGTGATAGCTCTAGAGTCACTCCCAAAATAACAGCTCCATTGATTGGCAGACCGAACAGGACTTGTACGTCTTGGAGCGTGATGGTGGCCTCGCCGAAATCGAAATGGAACGTATTCGTCTCTGGGCGCTACCTCTCCACGAGAGAAGTGATGAAGGAGTTGTCGGCTTGGACTCGACCCATTCGAAACATGGGGCCGAAACCAGTCCGGTCGATGGCCCTCCAAACCGACAGTGTCTGCATTGGCACTGCCTTCCAGAACTGAGTGTCGAAACGACGGTTTGTCAGCGTCGTGTCACGAGCTTCCGGCACATTATCAAATACCGTCTGTGCCCGATGTTTGTACTGGAGATATAGAAGACTCTCATCCCTCGGACCAGGATGCACACTGTACTGCTGAAGCTGTGAGGAGGACGATGAAGCCATTTATCTACAAACAATACAGAAAAGAATAGATTACGATTAAAGGTATTTATTATCAATAGTGATCAAGGACAATGGTAATATATTGTTTACAATTTAGATGCTAATAACATTAACAAAAACACTTCACAATTCAAAGTTCTAAAAATTGTCGTAATTCCGAAAAATCGAAGTTCACACAATAATTCACAATTTCACATTTTCAACAACATTAGAGTTTCAAACTTAAAACCATTTCCCTAAAATTAAAACAATAATTTAACATATTAAAAAATTCACAAATCCACCTTCAACACCTCTTCACACCATCACAATCATCACAAATTCACAAATATGTAACAACAAAGCCAATAACACAAGCAAAGAAGCTCAAACTAAAGAACCCCTTTGAGGCATTTTATCAAATACCTTCAAATCATATATTCTCAAACAAACTATACACCCTAATCACATTCCAAATAACCCATCAATTTAACATACAAACATATTCAACAATCCCATCAACATATCTCATTTCCATCAAACAAGATATTCATTATTCAAAAATACCCTAATTCAAAAATGATTGAAAATTGGTAAAAATTGAAGTCCTAATTGAACAAATGTACCTTATTGACGGTAAGGAGACGGCGGCAATATGCGGTGAGGGGGCAGTGCTCTTTTTTTTTTTTTTTTTTTTTTTTTTTTTTTTTTTTTTCCGGCCGAAGTACTCTCTTCTTCTCTGCTCTCTCTTCTCTTGCTATTGTTCTCTGTTTGTTCGCGTAAGGAGAAAGAAGGAGTTTTTTTTTTATATATATATTTATATGAAAAACGTATTC